AACTCTTTGGCAGGGGGTGAGGCTTTAGCTCATCATTGTACTTGAATATTTGTGAAGTGACTTTCTCATTCTGTCTTATATCCCACTACAGTGATAGCTAAAAAATCAAGCTAAGACATTGATGGTTTGAAATGAAATTATCCAGCTGTCAGTGCTACAAGGAAGTGACTTCAGGTTTTTGGTTGTGCTGGTTACATGTTCTGCATGACCTACAGTGCCAATTTAGTGTTGGGAAAATATCCAGATATGTTCTATTAAATGTGTCATCAGAAACTCTGCTTTCATGGTCTCATGTTTCAGGAGCATGCCTACTCTGAAGCATGGAACCTGCTTTCAGGCAGGGTGATAGGAATCTGTATGAAGCACTCATATCACTTTGTAATATAAATAATTATGGGAGAAAAAACAGGTAAAGACAGAAGACTATCTTGAATTTCTTTGTACAGCAGGACAGCTCCTCTCTCTTAGGTTTACCTGTATGTAGGTAAGGTAGGGACCACCACTGCTGGGGAATTCCGATGATTTCTAGCATCCACTACCTGCTGCAACAGTCAACCAACTGTAAATTGGCCTGTCTCACATAGCCTTTTAATTTTATTTCTGATTTACATGGTTGGTTAATGCCAATGAATCTTAACACCAAAGTAATGATAAAATGTTTACCCTCTTAATTCTTAACAGTTTTATTAATTGTTGAATGAACAGCTTGCATTCTAAACAATTATATTCAAGGAAAAATGTAGGTGTTTCATTCACTGTAAGTTGTCTATCATTAGCATTATAGAAACTTTTGCTACAAAGGGTCAATTTCTAGGCAGACCCTGTATAAATAAAGGTTACCATAAATCTTTTTTAAATATATTTTTTATTTTTAAATTTAAATTTAAATTAGAAACAAGGTTGCTTCACATGTCAATTCCAGGTCCCTCTCCGTTTCCCTCCCCTCCTCCCGTGCCCTCCCACCAACACCCCCAATATCCCTTCATTTCCCCAGGGAGGGTGAGGCCCTCTATGGGGGTGTCCATAGTCTGTCATTCATCCAGGGCAGGGCCTAGACCCTCCCCCAAGAGTTCAGGGTGAGAGTGCATCTCACATTGTTGGATGAGAGTCCAAGTCCATTTGTATACCTGGAATAGGTCACCATAAATCTTACTTTTTAAGTCAAAGGGTTTTTCTATTTTTTGGTGTGTTTAAGTACATTATCCCAAAGAGATGCTTTATCTTACTAAGACTTATATTTAACAAAACCAAGAGAGATTATATAAAACACATCCCAGGTGCTAGGGAAATTAATGATTAAAGTGCTTGATGTGTAAGCATAAAGACTTGAGTTTGGATCTGTAGCACATAAAATCTGGGAAAGGAGGCACAGGTCTGTGATCTCATGACACATGGAGGTGGTAGAAATCAAAGGCAGATACTAGGGTTTTGTTGGCCAGTAGGTCTATCAGTTCGTGAGCTCCAAGATCAGCCAGAGATCATATTTCAAACGATAGGATAGATAGCAGTAGAGGAAGTCACCTGATGCTATACTCTGCCTCTAAACTTGCAAGGGTGGGTGAACCCATACTCATCTTCACATGCACGGCATACACACACACACACACACACACACACACACACACACACACACACAGAGAGAGAGAGAGAGAGAGAGAGAGAGAGAGAGAGAGAGAGAGAGAGGCAGGGGGAGGGGAGGGAGAGAGAGACAGACACACAGGGAGAATAAACCAAAATTTGGGCTAGAAATTCAAACTATACAAAACAAAAAAATGCCATTATTTTGCTTTAAAATATATAAAACAGAAAAGAAGTTTTAAGAAACAGGGCATAGAACCCCTGTATCCCTTTATCCGATTTAGTATGCTTAGGTGGCTAATACAGTCATTTTCTTAACTGGGGTTGAAGGGAAATGTAGTGAAATGAGACAGACAGTGAGTCAGAGGAGGAAGTTCTCAGGGTGTGATGGATGCTCCACATAACATATCACCTCTAATTCAGATTTGGGGATTTCTTAGCTTATAGCAGTAAAATAGATGTCAACCTTTAAGAAATATGTGGTTCTGTTCATCTGAAGAATAAGTTCTCCTGTATCATAACTGAAGTGAATCAAAGTAGGAGAGATGTGCATGGACACCTGAAAAGGGGAAGGAGATCTCCTGAGTAGGTTGGGAGCATGGAGGAAGGGGAAGGAGGTTCAAGAAACAGGAGGAGAGAAAGGGAATGGTGAGGAGAATATGGGGGACTAGGTAAGTCAAGCTGGGGAACCAGCAGAGAAGGAGAGCAAGGAAAGAGATACCTTAACAGAGGGAGCCATTAGGTGCTTAACGAGAAATCATACAGTTATTCTGCTGTGTATGATTCACCTGTCTGATTTTCTTCTTAATCTTCTGACTAGCTACCGCTTCAGGCTTTTCATGCTCAGCGCTCATGACTTAATTCTGGCCAACCTACTTCTGATGAATGAAACTTTAGTTAGTATTGTGCTCAGCCCTTTGCATAATATAATCATCTGGAATCTGCACATCATGCATGGATTAGATGTTTTTCTACTGGAGTGGGATGAATAGTTTTCATTTCCTGTTTTTAATTGCCAAGTCACATTGCCAAGATTCTTGCACAAAGTCTACATAAGTCTATCAAGACTGAATGTTGAAGAGATCTGCAGGGCTACTGGGGAACATGATGAGTGGCAGATGCTAGTACTGCTGTAGAGTGTGAATGCTGCTGCATCACCAAATTCTCTCTTTGGGGTGATGCATTTGTTTATTCTAAAGAGCTTATCTGCATTTGGCTGGATTGCAGCTCGTAATATAAAGTCTTGGGTGTTCATTAAGAAGCAATGCGATTTCTTTCCTAGTTAGTGAGGCATTTTTCACTCAATCCATTCTTGTGGGCTCATTTCACATATTAGGATGCTTGTAGTTGCATTCAGGTAAAATTTCTCATCTCTTAGTTGTGGCATAGACTTCACATTTTCATCACAACTGTTCATGAGAATTCTCTGGTGATGTCACCAGTCCTCTGGGTCACTCCATCAGTTGCTGAGAATTGTTGATAGGTTTCCAATTTTATGATGTTTTATGAAATGAATTAATATTATCCAATAGAATTATAGAACATATAGATCAGTACCTTGATATCTGAGTGGTGAGAGGCACCAGGAAAGGCATAATGATGACTGCACCATTCGAAAGATGACTTTGCTCACCTTGCTTTGATCTTGGTGTGTTCTTAGTACTTTCCATCTATACCTGCTGTTTCCCATACATTTGGATGCACTCTGTTTGGGATCTGCATCTCCATGAGGGCATCATTATACCCTCGGGCCTGATTGCAGTGGCTTCCCTGGCCATGCTCATGCTATTTAGGCTGCAGTCTCTACTCTACCATTGAAAGGGATCCCATTTTAACCCAGAGAGAACGTAGACAGTGCTATCCATGGCAGAGTGTTACTAATTGCTTTTCTTATTGCTATAGCCCAATCTGACAAAATTAATGCAAGAAGGCATTATTTCATTTTATGTTGAGTTGATACAGACAATTTCAAAGAAGCAATGATGACATGGGTGTTAAGTCTTTGCTCATTTGCCCACAGTTAGGAAGCAGCAAGACATGAGTGTCAGTGTTCATGCTCATCTGGTCTTTGTTTTCCTATTTTCATTCATCTTTGACCTGCAGACCATGGGATGGTGCTTCCGTGCTTCCCACATTCAGGGTAGGTTCTCCCTGCTCGGTTAAACCTCTTGGGAATCACACACCCTGGGTCATTACAGGTTGAATCAAGTTGAAAATAATTAATCATCACATCTTGATTTGTGTGTATTTTCCCTCCTTACTTCCTTCTACCCATGTAGTTGGATGGCTGAGGCATCCAAGATAGATATTTTTTTTTCAAATTCCTGTGGACATTCAAATGACACTGTAAGGACCCTTTCTTAACCAAAAGTGGTTGACTTACAGCTTTCCTTGCTCGGTAAGGACACCCTGCCACTGGCTAATCTTGCTACCTCAGTTCAGAATTCCTTTAGATTCTTACAAGGTTCCTCACAGCTGACCACAAAGTGCTTAAGATAATATGTCAGCTCTTTCCATTTCTTTGCATATTTTAACAATAAAACAAATGGTTTGCTATTTAAAATATGGTCTCTCTTATTTATTTCTATTAAGTTCCCCTAAAAGTAATTAATCAGGCTATTAGGATTTCTGTGGGTAAAATGCTATAAATTATTGTGCTGCATAAATACTTCCAAATAGCCATTATGTCAGATGGTTAAACAAACAAGAAAAGCTACAATAACAGATGTTTGCACAAGCAATATTATCTCTAAAACGAAAACTCACAGTGCTTCCCATTTTGAGATAATAACAACAAACATAATCCATTCATTTAATTTAACTAGGTAAGACCTTTTTAAGTGGTCTGTACAGTTGGCAGAAAGAATATTTGTGCGTGCCTGCTCATGTGTATACATTTATGTTGGTGCATTCTCTCTCTCTCTCTCTCTCTCTCTCTCCCCTCTCTCTCTCTCTCTCTCTCTCTCTCTCTCTCTCTCTCTCTCTCTTTCTTTCTCCCCCCCCCATGTGTGCATCTATGTGTGTGTACATGTGGATGCAAGCAGTCAGCCTTGAAGGTTACTGATCAGGATGTCAGCCATCTTGTGTTTAGATATAGGTCTATCACCAGGATGTCAGCCATCTTGTGTTTAGATATAAGTCTATCACGAGCCTGACTCACTGAACTAACTGGCCAACAATCCACATGTCTCCACCTCTGCAGTGCTGGGATTAAAAGCAGATGTCAACTCTCCCTCTAAGCTTTTTATGTGAGCTCTTTGGACAAAACACAGGTTTTCATCTTGTCCTGCACTTACTTTACTGACTGAACCAACTTAGAGAATATTCTTGAGTCAAAATAAGGAGACAGATACACCACAGAAGCTGACAAAAATACATGGAGATATGGCAACAAGGAAAGCTGGAGTAAAGGAAACAATTACCTTAGGGTCATGAATTCCAGAAAGCTCTTCATAGATCTTCTCACCTACCATGACAGCAGCCAAATTTGCTGTGTACGTAGAAAGGCAAAACATACAGAAAATGGCCCAAAGATTCATCAGAAATCTTCCCGTCCAGCATTTTGGGGGTTTGATGGCTGCTGTTCTGCCAAAGAGAAGGGCGTAGCAGACGTTCAAGGCAGAGGAGAAGGAGAAGACTTTGTTTCTATTCCGCCCCTTAGGAGTCATACCGAAAGGGCTCTTCCATTCATACAGAGTGAGGAAAATGGCAGTGATATGCAGAGCCACGAAAATCCCCAGCCACATGGTCCAGTGAAGTGGCCACATGAAGGCTCCAATTGGAGCTGCTGTGTCTCGAGTCCTCACTAAGATGCCCAAACTGGTTGAGAAGAAAGGGCTGGTGAAATCTATCACCTGGCTTCGTGCGGTATTGATGCTGAAAGAAGTGACTGCCATGTTGGCAGTTCCACTCAGGAGATCGCCAACCAGCCCAGTCCAGTGACCATTTTTCCAAGCTCCATACTTTCCATCTCCTACAATGTAGAGGTCAAAGTCAAAGTTCATGTCTTCTGCTAACTGTTCCAGCAGATCAATGCAATACCCGTAACAGCACTTCTTGAATTGGATTGGTACTGTGTCATTGCTGCTGTGGAGGCTGTTAAACAGACTGTCCAGTATGGAAGAGTCATTGGTCATAGGGTCTAGACAGAGCTGTCCAGCAGGGCATAAGCCTTCATCATCTACTTCTCTTGTAAAGACGAATGGGTGTTCAATCAAGGTCACCACCCTCAGATGTAACTTATTTTGGTGCTGGTAGTGGGTTCTGTGCCTCTGGGCCTGCTCTGGCCATATTCCAGAGTCCATGACAATCCTTCCCCCTTGCCAGCTGCCCAGGCGAGTCCACATTGGCTTCCCCATAGGGTCATGCTGCAAGTTCCAGATGAAAAAGTTGTTTTCTGAGCTGATGATGGTAGAACCTTTGACTTTGATGGAACCACTGAGACCTCTGAAGGTGGTGTTGGCTAAAAACCTGGTAAAGAGGACCAAAGGCAGAAAGTGAGAAGGAGAGGTGATGTCGAAGTCAAGAGCCAGTGCTGACCCTTGCTTCTCTGCCTTAATAAGACGAGTCCTATTAGAATATTTCTTTTTTAGATTATAATTATATCACTTCCTGTTTCCATTTCCTCCATCCAAACCTTCTTGTATACCCTTCCTTCCTCATTTTTAAAATCCATAGCCTCTTTTTTCATTAATTATTGTTACATGCACATATACATATGTGTAACTTTCTCAGTTTGTATGTTACTTGTATGTATGTTTTCAGGTCTGACCATTTGGTATCGGAAAACTGATTGGTATGCTCTTTCCTGGGGAGTGCTACTTTTAAAAACCCATCTGAACTCCTGTAACCCAGTTGCAAAGGGGAGTGATGAGCAAAGGAATCAAGACCCGGCTGGCGAAACCCATAGAGGGGGAACGCATGGACTCCAGATGGATGACTGAGAGGCCATCATGGGACTGATCCAGGCACCCCCCAACCCAGGTGTCAGAGAGGAGGCCTTGGCAATATATGGGACCTTGGAGAGTAGATTAGCATTTATACCTGACATACAAATAGACTTTGGGAGCCCATTCCACATGGAGGGATGCACTCTCAGCCTGGACACATGGGGGAGGACCTAGGTCCTGCCTGGGATGATAGGACAGACTATGAAAATCCCTCATGGAAGGCCTTATCCTCCCTGGGGAGCTGAAAGGGAGTGGAGTAAGGTGGGGTGTTGGGGGAATTGGGAGGCCGGGGGAGGAGGGGAGGGAGAGCGAACTGGGAGAAACGTGTAAAAAGTTTAAAAAAATATTTTAAGTAACCTTAAATAAACAAAACAAAGACCTTGTCTTTCTTCAAGAATAGTATAGACTTTCTGGAAATGTTTTATTTCTTTGAACTAATGAGATCTCACCTCCAGGTTCTAGTACCAGCAAGCTGCTTGACAATTTGGTTTTACTCCAAATATTTTAATTGATTGTTAAAAATATCACTCATTGCTATTATATATTATGTATTTCCATAGCTTTACAACTTATGGAGTTTTGGAACATCTTGGACATTCAGTTCTACTTAGTTTACAAGCTTTGATTGTTATGAAATCTGTTCAATGAAATTTTTGGTATAGAAATGAATTTTAATAAATATGTATATTCTTTTATAATTGCTTAGAATTGCATTTATAACTTTAGGGAACAGCCAACTTTGGTACAATATTTTTCCTTGTAGATTAGAAAATTAGCATATTTCTCCTCCTGGGGCCAATCAGAGATGCATGTTGGATATTATCCACAGAACAAAGAAAAGGATGATAAATAAACTTGCTGTTCCCAGGACAGCCTTAGGCTACCCTCCATCATCATTAGAACTAAACAACTGGCTCTGATTCTAGAGGAAGAATCTGCTGGAAGTCAAAGCAAGGAAAATGACTAACTAAATGCTACATGATTTTTAGCCCTGTGTACTTGAGCGCTTTCAGTATACATTTTGACATTGATTAGACAGGAAAATGCTTGGTCACAGCACCTGTTTTTCTTGAGCAGGAAGAGGAGATAATAAGAGATAACATAAATACTTAATGATGACCTTGTTTCAGAATAAAAGCTCAGACTTTGGTGTCACATGACCTGTCTTTGAGGCTTTACCCAATTACCCAAGAGTAGGGACCCTGAGCAGGTTACTTGCCTGAAAGATGTAATTTAATCTTTAGCAAAAAGTGGGGAAACTAATGTTTGTTGCATTACAAGACTTGCAAACAGTACATGTGATACACAACAAACCTTCCGTGTAGAGATGTTGTGGTATTATTTGAAGACCAAACCAAAGCCTTGGAATAAACTTTTAGCAATGATTTCAGCATATTTAAAATGAAAAGGAGTTAAATTGAAAAGTGGGGTGTAGCCTAGTAGGTGTTTTGAGATGATAGTGACACAGGTATAGCAGCCCAGAGAAACATATTCGTGAATTGCCTGCCACATGTATTATTCCATAATTTACAAATGCAAAAGAAGTCTTGCTAAGAAGTCATGTTGCCAAAACATCCCTATACAATAAAGGAACTTCAGGAGGCATCACCATACCTGACTTCAAGCTCTATTATAGAGCTATAGTCCTGAAAACAGCTTGGTATTGGCACAAAAATAGGCAGGTAGACCAATGGAACCGAATCGAAAGCCCTAATTTTAACCCACACACCTATGAACACCTGATTTTTGACAAAGAAGCTAAAACTGTACAGTGGAAAAAAGAAAGCATCTTCAACAAATGGTGCTGGCATAACTGGGTAGTGGTATGCAGAAGACTGCAGATAGATCCATGTTTATCGCCTTGTACAAAACTTAAGTCCAAATGGATCAAAGATCTCAACATACATCCAGCCACACTGAAACTTTTAGAAGAGAAAGTGGGAGATACTCTTCAACGAGTTGGTACAGGAGACCACTTCCTAAACATAACACCAGTGGCACAGGCACTGAGATCAACAATTAACAAATGGGACCTTCTGAAACTAAAAAGCTTCTGTAAGGCAAAGGACACAATCAAAAAGACAAAAAGGCAGGCCACAGAATGGGAAAAGATATTCACTAACCCTACATCTGACAGAGGGCTAATCTCCAAAATTTACAAAGAACTCAAGAAACAAGTCTCCAAAACACCAAAGGATCCACTTGAAAGGTGGGGTACAGAGCTAAATAGAGAATTCTCAGTAGAGGAGGCTAAAATGGCCAAGAGACACTTAAGAAAGTGCTCAACATCCTTAGCCATCAGGGAAATGCAAATCAAAACAACTCTGAGATACCATCTTACTCCTGTCAGAATGGCTAGAATCAAAAACACCGAAGACAATTTATGCTGGAGGGGATGTGGAGAGAGAGGAACACTCCTCCACTGCTGGTGGGAATGCCAACTCATACAGCCTCTTTGGAAATCAGTATGGAGATTCCTCAGGAAAATGGGAATTAATCTACCACTAGACCCAGCAATTCCACTCTTAGGCATTTATCCAAATGAGGCAGGTTCATACAACAAGGGCATCTGCTCCACTATGTTCATAGCAGCATTGTTTGTAATAGCCAGAACCTGGAAGCAACCTAGATGCCCCTCAACTGAAGAGTGGATAGAGAAAATGTGGTACATTTACACAATGGAGTATTACTCAGCAGAAAAAAACAATGGAATCTTGAAATTCGCAGGGAAATGGATAGCACTGGAAGAAACCATCCTGAGTGAGGTAACCCAGTCGCAAAAAGACAAACATGGTATGTACTCACTCATATATGGATTTTAGATATGGATCAGGATAGTGCCAGTCTGCACTTCCACAGATAGAGAGTCTGGGAAACAGGAAAGAACCTAAAAGATATGCATATATACATAGTACCCAAGAGAAGAGGATGGAGACAAGATCCTCTGAATGGATGGGGAACAGGGCGAGGGGGTAGTGGGACCTGGGAAGAATAGAGGGGGTAAAGAGGAAGGGAGTTGGTCATGGGGGAACAGGAAGTTGAGGGGGTGGGGGTAGAATAGGGGGAAGAGGGAATCATAGGATCGAAGACAGATCAGGCACCAGAGTGACCTCGAGTGATCTAAAGGTATAACATCAATTGGCAAGCTAAGCAATAGTGGAAGGACCACCTCGAATGCCCATTCCTGATAATGAACTTGATGTCTATAACTATCCGGGAGCCTTCATCCTGGGACTGATGGAAGCAGAGGCAAACACACATCTAAGCACTGAACTGAACCCAAGGAACCCAGTGACAGAGAGAGAGGAATGATGAGCAAATTGGCAAAGAATGGGCTGGCAAAACCAGCAGAGACAGCTGATCTGAACAGGGGAGTGCTCTTGGACCCCAGACCGACAGTGGGGAGGCCAGAATGGGACTGATCTGGACCCCCCAAATGTGAGTGTCAGTGAGAAGGCCTGGACAACCTATGGGGCTCTGAGCTGTGGATCAGTGTCTATTCCTGGTATACAATCTGTCTTCATGTGCCTATAGCACAAAGAGAGATGCTCTCTCAGCCTGGACTCTTAGGGGAGTGCCTTGACCCTACCAAGAGTAAAATGATAGACTCTAGACATCCCCTATGTGGAAGTATGTGGCAATAGGGTGGGAGGGAGGGTGGAAGGGGAGTGCGGGAGGAGGGGAGGGAGAGGGAACTGGGATTGACATGTAAAACAAGCTATTTAAAATTAAAAAAAAACCAACGAAAAAAAAAAAAAAGAAGTCATGTTGCCGCAGAAGGGATATAGAAAAATCAGAAAGTGTGAAATATGACCTAATTTTCATTAGTGGTAAGTGTGAATCATATTTGAAGATGCTACTGTCACTGAAGGCAATGAAACCATTTGTTGTGGTAGATTGCCTGTAATGGCAATCACTCATGTGAGCGCACCCCAGTGGGACTCTAATACTTAAATAAATTCTATTTTGTAACAAGTAATGAAGTCTCAGATATCTTAGACTCTAAAACAGTTTTCTACTTCAGAGAAGCAGGGAACAAAATCATTAAAATCATATATAGATTAATCGATTGACAATCCCCTTGGTGCCATAAAAGAAGGACAAGTGTGTTGGTGTTTCTAATGAGATATCTACCTTTAGGTTTCTTAAAACATGCACACACATGGGCTGCTGGTCTAACTCAGGGGATGGAAAGGCTCATGGCAAATAGCCAAGTTTTATATAGCCAATTTTGTGATCATAGAAACATAAAGTGAAAGTTTTAGAAAGAACTCTTCATTAGCTTGAGAATATTTGGGGCTCAATGGTGATGGAGTTTCAACCTGGAAGGACCCAGGGAAGACTTCTTCTGACTAAATATATATTTGAGTCCTCCCAGTTAGAAGGCATTAGAAGTCTGTAGAAATCTTTCATCAATTTCATGGTTCCTACATTTTGGTAAAGCTATTCTTCATTTTCAGTGTGAACATTTAACACGGCCATGGATGAAGAACAATGCTCAGTGTCTCTGTGGCAGGCGTT